ACATGCTTGCATTTCCTATTACCTGAAGGTGCTTTTAAAACATCCCTAGGAATTTATAATTTGAAATACTTGGCAAAGCCTCATTTCAATTTTTGATGCAAGTAGTTTTCGGCTTTTTGACGTTTTTGTTTTATTTTGTTTTTAGCAAACAATATCTCTATAATAACCCCTTGGCACGTGGACAAAGCTTTTGTAAGTTATCTCAGTTGGTGATCGTAACTGTATGCACTGCCATTCCAATATCCATTTGACAGATGGAAAAGCTAAGAGCCCCCTGAGAAGATAAGAGGAGTATACAAGGAGACGAGCCAAGTCCAATACCCAGAACTCCAAATCCCCAATTCAGATTTGTTTCCATTCTTCCGTTTAGGGAGATAAAATTAGGAAAAGAAAATAAAAGGAGATGAAAAACAGTGATTTTTAAGGTCTTAATGATTAACACCATATTTCACTTTTAAAAGCAAGAAGTCCACATTGTATCCAGTTTTAAAACCTTCAATGAGTTCCCTTTGCCTGTTGCCAAGTTCAAAGTTAGAAGGTATTTATCTCATCTCCTTCAATTCCTCACATCAACCCAAAACTCCAACGAAACAAAACTGCTTGAAAATGTGCACATATACCATATCTTTTTGTATCTCTGTGCCTCTGCCTACAGTTTCTTCTCCTTTCAATATCTATTATATTGTTACTTCTATTATGCATTTAATTGATTTATCAAATGTCTACACCATGTTTACTATGTGCTAGGCATTGTTGGAAGTGCTTCATAATATTAACTGATAATCCCCATAATAATCCCAGAGGATAAGTAATAGTATCCCAGTTTACAGATGACGAACTGACATATAAAAATTGAGGAATAGAGCCAGGATTCCAGAAAGAGGATTCTGTTTTCAAACTGGGTACTCTTATCCACTACTCTGTGTCACATACGCACTTGGAATTTCAAAATCGAAAAACATATCGCATTCTGCCAATTCTGATGTCTCAGTGGCACTCTATCAAAGGCCTCTGGGTTATAGAGTTCATTACCTTGTAAGTGTACCATCAACTGGAGCCTAGCTCGCATCTTTTTAGACCTGGAAACCTGATATTTTTCAGTAATCACACCAAGAACAGACCCTTGTCTGGGAGGCGCACTCAGTGACTTGACCCATGAGATTAATGTCTCAAAGTAAAATGCCAGTTTATTAAGTTACGACTAAAAATAGAACTGTCTATCGCATGAACCGAAATACTCATGTCAGCGTGACCAGCACACAGCGCAGTCATGAAAAGCCAGATCACTCTTGGCAAGTTGTTTGGTCAACATGGCATCAGAATCAGGGTAATTCCTGGGAGGAACGGAACATTCATTGGCAGCAGCTTGGTTAGTGTGAAGCATCCACATCATGACGGCAGCAGCCTTGCCAATGGGACATGCAGGATTTCAAGTTTATGGGTCCTTTCCCTGGGACATTGCTAGGCTGGGCACCGACAACCATGTATCTGGCCTTCTCCTCTTTTCTAGGATTCTAATGCCCGGCTAGTTCTTTCTTTTCTTGGCCACATTTTCTTGTTAATTCATATTAATATAGTCAATCTGGTTATGGTCAAGTGTTTAAGCCTAGGACCTTTCTATCTCTTTAAGAGAGTCTTTGTGCAATCGTATTTTCAGGTGACATTTACTTTTTGATAACATTCTCAGACCTAGCACATGCTATATAGCATTCCTGTCACTAAATTATAATTGAATGATTTTCTTAATAGCAAAAACCAAGTCATATTTGTTCCCAGAAGTAACTGCATTGCCCAGCACATAACAAGAGCGCAGTGGACATTTGTCGGACAAACAAGTGAATTAGGAGGCAGTAAAGCATCATGGTTATGAGTGTAAGCTCTGAAGCCAGAAGGCCTGCTATCGAATCTCAGCTCTATTACTTAGTAGTTGTGCGATTTTGGCAAGTTAGTTAACCTCCCTAAGTTTCAGTTCTCTCGTTTGTAAAATGGGTAAAATGATAGTACCCTGACTCCCAGGGTACCTGAGACGATTAAATAATTTAATACAATATAACAAACTTAGAAATATACTGCAAACTCCATAACTATTAGTTATTAATATAATCATTCTCTCAGAGTTTTATATTATTCTAGAGACCCAGTCCTCGGATTCGTGCACTAGTTGGGGGGCGGGGCGGGGCATGGCCTGCAGGGATGGCCTGCGGCACCGCTCATCCTGGTCAGCTGAGTGGCTGTGGACCTGCCCTCTGAGCGGCTGCTGAATGAGGAAATTAGTCTGAGCTGATACTTTGGGGTAATGTCTTGGGTAAAGGTGTGTTCTGTGTCCTGGAGGAACCTGGTGGAGAGCTTTTCACCCCAAAGTCACTTGGTGAATGTCCTTGATGTGTGATGCCAGGTCAGAGTCACCATTGGGATGTTCAGGGCAGCCTCCCCAGGAGATCCACAGTCACATCCCCTCTTGCTATCAGCCTATGCCAGCTCCCCACGATCTTTCTAGAACACACCTTAGAGGGCCAGCATCAGCTGGTGGGGACAGGCCAGGGTCTGGATTGGCTCAGGTATTTAATCGGGGCAGACTCAGCCTCACCCTGGGCCTGCTAGCAGCTGTTCAGTCACTGGGCTTTTATATATATAGGTTTTTGTGTTTTTTTTAAGTGTGGCTTTTTTAATGAACTTATTGGGTTTATATAGGTTTCAGATGTACATTTCTATAATACATCATTTGTATATTGTGTTGTGTGTTCACCACCCCAGATCAAGTTTCCTTCTATCACCATTTATCCCTCCATTACCCTCTTCTATCTCCGCCACCCCCCTTTCCCTCTGGTAATCACCATACTGTTGTTTGTGTCTATGAATTTTTTTCTTAATCCTGTCTCCTTTTTCACCAATCTACATTCCCACCAGCAGTGCATTACGGTTCCCTTTTCCCCACACTCTGGCCACCACTTGTTTGTTGATTTATTGATGATAGACATTCTGACAGGCGTGAGATGATATCTCATTGTAGTTTTAATTTTTATCAGTCTAATGATTAGTGACTTTGAGCATTTTTTTCCTATGTCTACTGGCCATCTATACGTCCTCATTTGAGATGTGTCTATTCAAGTCCTTGGCCCGTTTTTAAATTGGATTGTTCGTTTTTTTTGGTGATGTGTTGTATGAGTTCTTTATAAATTTTGAATATTAACCACTTGTCAGATGTATCATTGATGACTGAGTTCTCCAATTCAGTGGGTTGTCTTTTCCTTTTATTGATGGTTTCCTTTTCTATGCAAAAACTATTTAGTTTGATGTAGTCCCATTTGTTTATTTTTTCTTTTGTTTCCCTTGCTTGATGAGATATATCAGAAAAAATCTTGCTATGAGAAATGTCCAGGATTTTATTACCTATGCTTTCTTCTAGGATTTTTATGGTTTCAAGTCTAAAATTTAAGTCATTGTGACTTATTTTTAAAAGAGCAGAGAACTGCTGCTCTTGTGTCATCACTGAATGCTTAATCAAAAATTGATTGTTTTTGTTCACAAGAGTTCAGTAATATGAAAACTCCCATGTATTGCTGATGGGAGTATGTAATGGCACAAAGTTTATGGAATGTAATTTATCAAGAGCTTATAAAAGTTCATTCCCTTTAGTCCAGTAATTCTTCTAGAAATTTATCTACCCTAAAGACATAGTCAGAAATTTAGGTAAAGCATATGCATGGATATGGCTCATTACACTCTCATTTATCAAACCCTAAATTGGACATTACTTAAGTAATAGAAGAATGATTATACAAATTATATCATTTGATGGAATATTATGTAGCTCTCAAAATGTTGTCAGTTTCTGGGAAAATACCTTCAAAAATTTATAAGTGGAAAAACAAGCTGCAAAATTATATACGTGGTGTGGTTTTTTTCCTCAGTGGAAAGAAACTAATAAATCAAAATAAAAGTGACTATCTTTAGATGAGGCAACTATGAGAGATTTTTTTACTTTTAGGTAATCTTTCTTTCCTAAAATCTCTGCAACAAACATGTATTTTTTAAAAAATAACTCTTTAACAATTATGACTTTTTATATCCATTTCATAATTTATAAAACATGTTAAACAATAAGTGCAAATTTTATCATATTCACAATTTTAAGTTTTTTTCTGTAGAAATATGCCTAGTTTCATACAGAAATAATTAGGATGGGATTCATTTAATACTAATACTTTTCAGAAAACCTTGAATTTGTATTTATTTGGTTAAATAAGAACTAAGTATAAGTACTTATTTTAACAACCAAATGCTTAGTTTTAATTCTTACATGTACAACTTCATTAGATCTGCTCAATTTAGTATTTGAGTGTAACTCCACTAAGAATGTACTCAGAAGAAAAGAGAGGCTTTTATATGAATATTAAGAGAGAATTCTTTTTATAAGGAAACTAGAAGCCCAGTGCACAAAAATTCGTGCATTTGGGGTGGGGGGTCCCTCAGCCCAGCCTGCACCCTCTTGCAGTCCGGGACTCCTCAGGGGATGTCCACCTGCTGGCTTAGGCCCACTCCCCGGGGGGATCAGGACTAAGTTGGCAGTCAGACATCCCTCTGGCAGCCTGGGAACCCTCGGGGAATGTCCGACTGGTGGCTTAGGCCCACTCCCCGTGGGGACTGTTCCCATGTATTGCTGATGGGAGTATGTAATGGCACCAGTCGGACATCCTTAGCACTGCCGAAGAGGTGGGAGAAGCTCTGCCACCACCACTGTGCTCGCAGCTGTCAGCCCGGCTTGTGGCTGAGTGGAACTCCCCCTGTGGGAGCACAGGACCACCAGGGGCAACGCCTGCATTGAGTGCCTAGCTCCTGGTGGTCAGTGCGCATCATAGCTACCGGTCATTCCCAGTCATTCCCAGTTATTCCACTGTTAGGGTCAATTTGCATATTGCCCTTTTATTATATAGTATAGTTCAAATATTGAGCCTTTTATAGGTAGTAATAAGGTGTTTGTTTTTCTTTTTGTCTCCTAGGAGCTGTGAGGGAAGAAATATTCGATATAGGACTTGCAGTAACGTGGTATGTATTGAGATTATATGATTGTGATCATGTATTTTTTAAGCACTGAATACTGCTAAGCAATTTTATGTATCCTGAGCAGAGATCAATCAATTACCACTTCACTGAAAGTGATTTGTCTCACAACACATGGATTATGCAACATTGAAAAATAAGTATTTTTAATGTTCCTCAATATAAACTTTTACAAGTGTGGCCATATTGAAACTTACTAGGCTATTTCATCAACAGAGGTCTCTGCTTTCTGACTTTTTATATCTAGGTTTCAAGATAACAAATAAAAGGAATGACAAGAGGGAAACCACTTGGGGTATCATGAAATAAGTATTAATCAACTCAGGTTTAATAAATTCATTTAATTCCTTCATTCAACAAATACTATTCAATGCCATCAATGTGAGGCACTACACCAGTAAAGGATAAATAACATGGTCACTATCTTAAAACATTTGTTGATATAGTAAGAGATGTAATAAAAGGCCGAAACCGGTTTGGCTCAGTGGATAGAGCGTCAGACTGTGGACTGAAGGGTCCCTTGGTTCGATTCCAGTCAAGGGCATGTACCTGGGTTGCGGGCACATCCCCAGTGGGAGATGTGCAGGAGGCAGCTGATCAATGTTTCTCTCTCATCGATGTTTCTAACTCTCTATCTCTCTCCCTTCCTCTCTGTAAAAAATCAATAAAATATATTTTAAAAAAAGAGAGATGTAATAAAAGAAGACAAATCAAAATATGACAAATGCTGGGAAGAAGCTCTTTGTGTGTTAAAAACAAAGAGAAATATGAAGGGTCTTCAAGGAAAAGGTTATTTGAGGTAGGGCTAAGAGGGCTGGGAGGACTGTGACTTGCCCAAATTGTGTGGAGGAGACATAATGGGGAATTTTGGAAGCAGGAATATCTAAGATGGTAGATTGTGGGTAGATTGTGTTTAGCAGTATGGAAGAGAAGAACTGAAAGATATTTTGAGGTTACACCATGAACAGGTTTTAATGTTACACCTCCCAAGTTTATAATAGTTCAAGGAATAATGGGGGGGGGTAGAAAGGGGGACATCATCACTAGAGGTTTTGGAAGAAGAGTATAATATTGTAGTTTTACTTTAGGAAGTTTAATTGTGTAGTGATACAAGGGATGCACTGGAAGGTGAAATAGTTGGAGAGCGAGAAGTAATGAAAGTTTACCCAGGAAGATATATATACAAAAGAGGTAAAAATTGAGGTCATTCTATAAGACGTATGCAGTTAAAATCAGAGTGATGCATTGAAGTGGGAATAAAGAAAACAAACACGTGCATATTTAGACCTCTTGCACTTGCTGATCCCACTGTTAGAGAAGCTTTTTCTTCAGCATTTGCATGACGGTCATTCTCCTTATTCTAGTCTCATCTCAAACGCTGCATCCTTAAAGAGGTTTCCTGGACCGTTTTATCTAATTTGGTTGTTCCACTGCCCAAATTCATCCCTCACAATAGTCTATCAATCACATTTTACTTTTTTAAATAAATTTTTACTAGAGGCCTGGTGCATGGATTTGTGCACTGATGGGATCCCTCAGCCAGGCCTGTGGGGATTGGGCTGAAACCAGCTCTCCAACGTCCCCTGAGGGGTCCCAGATTGCGAGAGGGTAGTTCTCGGGTGACACACCCCAGAATTGGGCTCCCTCCTCTCTGGTTCCAGGTGTGTCACCTAAGAACCGCAGCTGCCAAGTCACTGCGACTCGGCAGCTCCTGCATTGAGTGACTGCTCCCTGGTGGCCTGCACACCACCCTACTGGGGATCAAGCCCGCAACACCAGCATGTACCCTTAACCAGAATTGAATCTGGGACCCTTCAGGCATCATAGCTTTCGGTCAGAAAGTCTGCCCCGGTGGTCATTATGTGCCATAGCTACCGGTTGGATGGTCACTTAGGCTTTCTTTTTTTTATAGCATTTGCCTCTACCAAGTTTATTTTATTTAATTACCTGTTTGTTTTCTGTTTTCTCAGTATAGAAAGTAAATTTCACAAGGACAGGAGCCTCATTCATCCTGTGCACTCCTGTATCCCCAATGCCTAGAACTTATAACTTACATATATAATAGATATTTGCCAAATGCAAACGGGCTTTTGGAATAATGGGAAATGTCATTATTAAAAATAAGAAAGTTGGGAGGAGTTTGGGGAAAAGACAATAATAAATTTGATTTAGGGGCACCATTGGGTTGACATAAAGGCTAGACTTGTACATGGTATGTTCAACGAGGCAGTGGGGGTTTGATGTAAGGAAAGAGATTGTGACTCAAACCATAGAAACACAAGGTAAGAAATACGGAATTTGAAAATTTGGTAGCAGATTGTTTGGTAGAGTATACAGAATGATGAGAGAAGAGAATCTCAGATCTTTGGTGAATATTTGTATTCAGGTAGAAAGAGAACATAGTGCCAGGTAAGCTATCAAAGTCACCATGAGAAAAGTAAAAGAAGAAATGAGAGAGAATTAATTCCTGAAGGTGTTCAGTAGGATAAGTGTTGCCAAGAAGTTGAAATATGCAAAAAGGCCAACAGGGGAGTAATTTCTATCATGTATTAGGAAATCAAGATTGCAGGGGATTAGAGAAATATTTTCATAAGGAAATGGAGTCCGTGGGTATAAGTTATTCTTATAAAATGTTCATAGAGACATCTCATCATTTGCAGAGTCACCAAAGGGTGGATGGGTTGTTTGTTTGCAGTGACGAACTCTTGAAAGGTGAGTTGATCTAGAGCAGTGGTTCTCAACCTTCCTAATGCCGCGACCCTTTAATACAGTTCCTCATGTTGTGGTGACCCCCAACCATAAAATTATTTTCGTTGCTACTTCATAACTGTAATTTTGCTACTGTTATGAATCGTAATGTAAATATCTGATGTGCAGGATGTATTTTCATTGTTACAAATTGAACATAATTAAAGCATAGTGATTAATCACAAAAACAATATGTAATTATGTATGTGTTTTCTGATGGCCTTAGGCGACCTCTGTGAAAGGGTCGTTCAGCCCCCAAAGGGTCGCGACCCACAGGCTAGAGGGAGAGACAGGCAATATGTGGAGGTCAGGGTATATTTGATGCCAAAGGAGATATTGGATGAAAGAAGAAAAGGAATTTTGATAAAGGAAAAGGACATATACTTTATTCTTAGGAAACAGGCACAAACGGAGAAAGAAAGGATGAAGGTATAGAAAGATTTCTGAAAAAGAGAACAGTTGAGGCTGTGCATGAAGAGCAGGCTCCAGCGTCTCTGCAGAGAAGTGTTCTGAGTCATGTGCTGAAAGTGAAGGAGGCAATCTGGATTTAGGAATGTGATCATAAAGGCCTGGTAGAGCCACTGAGGAAGTTGAGTGGAAGCCAGCAAAGCCAAATAAAAAGATTTTTGAGTAGCAAAGAGGGCTCGACTGAGGTTAGAGAGCTTGATCTGACAGAGGTCATGGTCAGCAGGAGTAAGGACATAGTCTGACAGTTTCTGCACTGAAGCAGTAATAGAGAAAATGGACATTGGAAGTGACCTGTGTTCAGAATACAGATGAGTTGAGAGAGACTTAAGTGAATGGAATGTATAAGTTTTTAAATGCCTGAACAGGTAGAGTATAAGGAACTAGAAAGCGTGATCATTGGAAGTAAGAGTAATTGTTCAATGGAAAATTTTGCCTAGTTCATTTCTCTATTTTCATTAAGAACAGGAGATGCCAGATAACATGAGTTATATCATTGCCTTTAAAACACACACACACACACACACACACACACACACACACACACACATATGTGTGCACACACAACTGCTATAGGTGTGTGTGTGTTTTAATTTTTTAAAAATGGTATTTAAAAATGAGTTTTAGAAATTTTATGAATTTTTTTTCAATGGAAATGTACTTTAGATTATTGGTTTTCTTTACTATCCCTTTTATTGTGGTGATATCTTATATATCAGGGTTTTTTTAAAAAAAAACAAACAAACATGCACCATGATGTTATGAAAGAATCTTCTTACCTTACCCTTTTCTTTCTAATCTTTATCCCAAGTAGATGAATGCCTAAAGCTACATGAGCAGATGTCTGCTTGCCCTTTCCTTAAAGCTTTTCAGAAACAGCCCACGATTTCCTTGCTCTCATTATGAGCATTTTCACGGACACATGCTGGCTAAGACTCTGACCCAATATGACTTAAAGCCCAGAGCATTGCACGAGCCAGCTCTTTATAGCTTGTAGAACCAAACTGACACTGGGTTTTTATGAGAACCTAGAGTATTCAAATAATTTGAAGTATGTTTTTTTTCTTCTTCTTCTTCTGGCTTTTGGCCATGACAGAAGCAACATTGCCAAAAAAACAAATAAAAACATCTCATAAGAAAGGACCTTTTCATAATCACATTCCAATTTTTTTCTAACTAAGAAGTTCAGGAATATTGTTAAGTTCAGTTAAATATTCTCCTTTCAGATACTTGTTTTGGAAAAACTGGAGGGTCCTTATTTGCTAAGTCTGCAGGGTCACTCCTTAAACCCTGGACAGCTTCCTGGGCTCTTCTGAACCATGTCTCTTCCAGAGATGCACACTTTCTCTATTCTTTGTAGAGTTGCTAAGATAACATTTCTTTGGGTTTTTGTCCCCCAAGGCCAAGGAAGAGAAAACATCTCCTCAGTTTCCCAATTTTTATGGCTTGCCTAAAAAAATCAGTTCATAAATCTTAAAGTTTTATTGTTAATCACTCTACAGAGTGCATCAATATCAATAAGAAAGTTCAAGTTCCCATAATGTTTGCATACATCTCATAGCCAGGATACCTTCTTACACTATTCCTAGAGGGTCCAAGTAGACTATTTTCATTCTTAAGGACATAGTTCATCTAACCTTTCCCTATTCACACTTTCTGCTTTTCTTCCAGGGAAGTTGCAAGGCTCTCTTTTTGGAAGGAAAGACTAAGGGTACTGTTAGGAGACATAGTAGGTATGAACCGGCAAGCCAATCAAGCGAGTCATTTAGGGC